TCACCCAGTGTCTTAGTCATCTGGTGCTGCTCCGACAGAAATCCCACGAGTGGATGGATTTAGCAAAGAGAAGTCCATTCTCTCACAGTCCAGTAGACTACAAGTCCAAATTCAGGTCGGCAGCTCCAGGGGAATGCTTTCTCCGTTGGCTCTGGAGGAAGGTCCGTGTCATCAATGTTCCTTTGGTCTGGGAGCTTCTCTGCACAGGAACCTCAGGTCCAAAGGATGCGCTCTGCTCCCGGCGCTGCTTTCTTGGTGGTATGAGGTTCCCGTGTGTCTCTGCTCGCTTCTCTCTTTTATATCTCAAAAGAGATTGCATTAAGGCATTAAGACACTATCTAATCTTGTCAGCCTCATCAGCATAACCAAATCATAGTGACAGAATTTACAACACATAAGGAGATCACATATAATCTTATCATAGTGATAGAGTTTACAACACATAAGGACATCACATCAGATTACACAATCATACAACACTGGGAATCATGACCTAGTCAAGTTGCTACACACATTTTTTGGGGGACACAATTCAATCCATGACACCAAGCAATTTGTATTGCTTATACATTGCCTCTATAACTATTATTTTTCAGGTCTGCGTAATATTTCTTCAATGGACAATGAACATTTTACTTAAGTATTTTCCTTTTGTTGATCTGTTAGATTGCTTCCTTTTACCCATCATTATAAACAGTTTTACAACAAATATATTCCTTTCTTTAGAATCTTCTTTATTTGGGATTTTTACCACAGGATATATTTCCAGAAGTGGGGTTATTTGGCTAAATAGTAATATTCCTAAATTAATTTTTTAAATTAATATTTTGTTGTGTTTTTGCTGAAAGTAGACACAGCAAAACACGTTCCCATTCAACGGGGCCTACACATAATGTTCAGTGACATTGGTTGCATTCTTCACAGTGTGTCAACATTCTCCTTATTTCCATTCTAGTTGTTCCACCCCCATTAATTTAGTCTCACTGCCCCTCAAACTGCTCATTTATGCGTTAGAGTAACTGTTGTCTATTTGGTCTCTTATGGATAATTTTTTAAAAGAGTGCAGTTCTCAAGGATGAGCTTCTTTGCTTTTTGAGTTATCCTGCTATTTAGTGAAAAGGTGATTTCAGGAAATAGTTTCTGTTCAGGGTCTGAAGAGTATTTCAGGGGAACAGTCTTGGGGATTCCTCCAGACTCAATGTGTCCAGTAAGTTTGGAATCTTTGAGAATCTGAAGTTCTGTTCCATAATTTTTCCCTTTCTATGCTACATTACTTTTCAAGTTAACTTTTGAAATTATTCACAAAAGTACAGTTTTTTTGGCTATAACCCAAATACTCCATTTGCTATAGGTTATTCTGAATATTCCAATCAAAATTTTTTTCTGAATGCATTTGTGCCACATAACAGTTAGAGGTAAATCCGACACAAGCAATGAAAATAAACCCAATCAACAGTGGTTTCAACAGATGGGGGTTAATATTCTCACATAATAAGAAGTCTAGAGGTTGACAGGCTACCTTGGGCTAGCAGCTGCTCAGGGAAGTCGGCAAGAACCAAGGCCCATTACATCCCTGACTCTACCATCCTTAGTAAATGGTTTCCACCCTTGTGGTCGCAAGATGGCTACTATACCTCTAGGCATTGAATTGGTTCTCCAGGCATGAAGAAGGGAGAAGGGCAAGGGACTGAAAGGGCACGTTATCTTTCTGTGCTATTAAAACATCTTCCAGAAGTGCCATCTGCTTACTTTGCCTTAGATCCTGTTATAGATAGATTTATGTGTCCCCAAATTACGTGTTGGGGTCTTGATTCCTACACCTGTGGAGGTAATCCTGTTTGGAGCTGGAGTTTTCTTTGTTATGTTAATGAGGGCGTATCAGCGTAGGGTGCGTCCTAAAAGTGATCACTTCTGAGTGATATAAACAGCAGCCTAGACACAGACGGGGGAAGAGAGATGCCACGTGGAGATCACCAGGGAACCAACCGGAAGAGACAAGGATCTTCCCCTAGAGCCCACAGAGAAGCTTGCCCTAGAGCCAGTGCCCTGAATTTGGACTTCTAGCCTCCTAAACTGAGGGAAAATAAATTTCTGTTCTTTAAAGCCACCCATGTGTGGTATTTCTGTTACAGCAGCACTAGCTAACTAAGACAGATCTCTTTGTCAGGACCAGGCCACATGGTCACACTTCAGTCAAGGAAGTTGGGGAAAGAGAGCATTTTAGTTTTTACATCTCTATAGACTAGGAAGATGAGGGAGGAAGGGGATGTGAATGACTTTTGAGTAAAAGGCCGTGGTCTCTGCCACATGACTTTCCTTGCTTTAAGTGAAAAAGGGGAATGATTTTTTTAAAAATAATTTATTGTTGTTGTTAAAAATACACACAGCAGGACATGCATTAATTCAACAGCTTCTGCATGTACAACTCAGTGACATTGATTACATTCTCTGAGTTATGCAGCCATTCTCACCCTCCGTTTTCGAGTTGTTCCTCCCCATTTACACACAAATATTTTGGAGACTGGGCTGGAGAATTGACTGGAGAAGGTGTGGTGTAGGGGTGAGGGCAGTCAGGAAGCTGGTGCAATAAATCGGTTAGAGGATCTTTCCTTGGCCTTGGGGACCTCATGGAACATTGCTGTCAACAGAACACCTGGTAAACCCCTCTCTTGTGGAGGTGGACACACTGCATGTGGGCAGAGCACCCAGGTCTAGGTCCAGGTGGCCTTGGGGTGCTTCCTGACTTTGCTCCTTTCTGGTTGTACCTGCCTGCACAATGGGCAACGTGCCTCCCATTGAGGGGTGTTGTGAAAATGTAAGAGTCTCTGGGTGGTGCAAATGGTCCACCCAGAGATGCCTCGAAAGAAAGGCCTGGCATGACCTACTTCCATGGAAAACCCTATGGAGCATAATTTTACCCTAACACACATGGAGTCCCCATGAGTTGGAGTCCACTCAACAGCAACTGGTTTGATTTTTTTTTGGGGGGGGGGTGAAAATGTAAAGAGATGGGCATGTGAAGTTCTTAGCACAACACTCGTCATATAAAAATGGGGTTTTAACCACCATGAGCTGTTTTTATGATGGTGACCTTTCTCCACTTTGGAAAGGCCCTTTCTTTTTTATTTTATTGTTCTACTTTAAGTGAAAGTTTACAATTCAAGTTAGTCTTTCATACAAAAATTTATACATATATTGTTATGTGACCCTAATTGCTCTCCCCATACTGTGACAGCGCACTCCTCCTTTCCACTTCTGATCTCCCGTGTCCATTGAATCAGCTCCTGACCCTCTCTGCCTTCCCATCTCACCTTGGGACAGGAGCTGCCCATTTAGTCTCATGTATCTACTTGAGCTAAGAAGCACACTCCTTACGAGTATCATTTTATGTCCCATAGTCCAGTCCAATCTTTGTCTGAAGAGTTGGCCTCAGGAATGGTTTTAGTTCTGGGTTGACAGAGAGTCCAGGGGTCATGCATTCTAGGGTTCCTCCAGTATCAGTCAGACCATTAAGTCTGGTCTTCTTACTAGAATTTGAGTTCTGCACTCCACTTTTCTCCTGTTCCATCAGGGACTCTCTGTTGTGTTCCCTGTCAGGGTGGTCATTGTGGTAGGGAAAGGTCCTTTCTTACCTTTGGCTTATTATAATGCACATATGAAGACAGTTACAGAATGTGGGCGTTGGGAAAGGTTTGAGATATCTGGTTCAATCTCCTAAATTTAGCCACGTGAAAACGGAAAAATTAAGCAACTTGTCTGCGGTCACAGAACCCCGAGAAAAAACTCACTGGGTTGGTTCTTATACCACCACGGGCAGTTCCTATGTATTTTGGTTACTAACGCTTACCGTAAGTATAGATTTTCTTCACATTTATTTGATAGCGGCGATATCTTGGGTGGCAACCCCTAATTTGGAAAAGGATCGGTTTTACACATTTTGTAGCACTCCATTTAAGCCCCACTGAGTTTTGGATCACCTTAGAACAGAAACTGGGCGAGGTGTGCCGCGTGAGCCTGCAGGGGCTGCAAGCTCGGGTCTTCTTTAGCCGTGGAGTCCGGAGTGGCTGGAAGCACTCCGGGAGGACAAGCCCTCTCCGCCTCCCTGCGGGAGCGCGCGCAGCAGCACCCACCCTCCCTGGGCTCCGCGCCAGAGCTCCTCTGCGTCCTAGTCTCAGCGCCACCGAGGGTCCTAGAGCCCAGTCAACCGCAGAGGTGTAGCGGGTGCCCGCTGCGTGTAGGGAAGCACCGGGCGAGGAGCTCGGGGTGCCTTGGGGGTGACCGTCCGACCCGCTCCCCAGAGGAGGGGAAGCAGGCGCTTCGCCGGGCTCCTCAACATTGCGCACGAACCCTCTCCTGCGCTCTCCAGCCCCAAAGCTGTCCCGGCATAGGGCGGCTCCTCCTGGCTCCGCTCCCCGCGCCGGGGGCGGGGTGGAGAGGACGCTGCCCCGCCACCGGGGCACCTGGGGCCCAGGTGGGCGCTGCCACCCACGGGGCGACGGCCCGGCCAGACCCCGGGTGCTGGTCTCGGTGTCCTCGTGTGTCACCCCGGGGCGGCCAGCTTGGCTGCGAGTTTCCTCCTAGCTCTCAGTTCAGTATTCCGGGGTTCCCCCTGCCCTCGCCTGCAGGCCCCTCTCCTCCCCCTCCCGCAGTCCACGTCCCGGGAGCAGGCTCCCCCGGGCTCTCGCCCCCACGGGGAAAGGGCGGGGATGCGGGCCGGGGGGGCGGGGCCGGGGGGCGCGGCGG